AAAAGTAGATCAGAGACATATTTATAGTAATTATGCAGGCAAATTTGCCTGCAAATCTCTACCAATTAAGGGATAAGAATACGATTAATTAGATGAGAAAACTGAATAAGTAAATTTCTCAACGATTCAGTGAAGTTAAATTGAATAATATAGCTGGTAAATATGTATTCTGAAATTTTTATTGAGAATTTCATCGATATTTAAAGACTAATTTTGTAATATTCGTTTATTAATCTACATCAAGTTATAAAATTTTTTTTTATTAACTATATTGCTTTGATTGAAATTGAAAAAAAAGATATTACAAATTAGAAAAAAAAAAAAAAATTTATACAAAGGACCATTTTTACTGGGGATAAAAACAAGAGATAGTATTAAATAGTGCGAAGCACTACCAATCTAATTACAGAATTAGTGTTTTAAACTTTTGCAATTGCAATACAGTAAATTGTACAAAATTCGGCTTATGTTCACTACATGAACATTTACTAAAGCTTTATGTGTGATATAATTATTATATAAATTAATGTTCGCAGAAATAAATTTATATACACAATGGCTTTAAGCGTATATTCAATTTTATATACTTGTCATATCTCCTTCCATCATTAATCAGATCAGCGATTTACGTTAATATTTATATATAATACACTTTTTTTCGCTTCTACTAAAGTTGGCGTAGTAATAATTCTATGATATAATTTCTAATCAAAGTAATATAGTCAAGGAATATCAAATGTACCAATTATATGATTTAATTAGGGTTAGTTCAATGGTTAGGAATAGAATCAGGACGATGACCAAATTTTGTATGGCTAAGAAGAATCTGTGTTGTTTTTTTAACATATTTTGTAACAATGAAATAAGTTTCTGTGTAATTCTGTAATAGGAATCTGTTGCTTAATACACTTAGAAATATAAATAAAAAACTATAAAAAATTTTTATTAGTGCATTTCAGTGATTTAAGTATGCATTAGCAATTTTATTATCTCATCATAACTGTAATCTCTAATTCCATATAATATTACCATAATATGGTAAATAAGGTAATAAAAAAAAAAAATTTGTATGCATATATATAAAGTGTGTTAATAACTATAATATTACGTAGTACTGCTAAATTAAAATATTATTGATCTAAGTCCATTCGTTATTCAAGTATATCGCCATATATTTATAATAATATATGGTATATTTAGTAGTGTCCAAAAGCTTATGCATGAATTATTTAAGAACAATCAGCTAATTTTTTTATTATAGGCTAGGAACACACTGGTTACCATTACTGAGTAATTCTTTTAGTTTCCAAAGGATCACTTATCTCTTTTGTTCGTTACATAACAGATCCTTGGTACTTTGGTTTTTTTTAAGAGAATTTTAATTTGGTGCATAATTGTCGTGGTCCTCACTGATCACAAATGAAGGTTTTTCCTTTCAACTAAAGGGTTATTAGAGTCACTTTATAAAGATAATGTACAATTGTTTTTGCAAGAGTAATGTTTTTTATTATGAACGAAAGAGAGTAACTAACTTTTTTTTTGTCAAGAGCCACTGCCCTTTTTTTTATTTTTTTCAATTTTTCCTTATATACATGTTTTTGATTCTAAATTAATTACATCAAAATTAATTTTACAATTTTAACTCATGCCCAATCTCTTAGGTAATAGAATTTCGCCATCGTTTCAAACTATATTTCTAATGAAATAAAGTATATTTGATATAAATTACAACTCTGAAAATTTCTCATTTATCAATTTCATAATCTCCAGCAGGTATTATGGGTGGTTGTTCATAGCATCCATTTGCCTTTATCAAGAAGTATGACTCAGTATATATGCAAAAAAAAAAAAAAAAACTTTTTATGATGTTCAAAAGCTTACTGTGAATTCTTTTTGTAGTTTTTTGATCTCTTCTTTAGTTTTTTTGCTTTTCCAAAAGATTTGCCACCTCTTGCTTATATGTGTTGTAGAGCTTGTACCAATTTCATATTATGGACGCATAAATATGGAAAGTCACTAGTAGATAGGTAGAATGAGTTTTTGTTATATACCTACTGGAAAGTCATAGTCTGGATCAGTGTTCGAAATTAGTGTTCTTCGAGTTCTCATGAGAACACAATTATAAGTTTGTGAACAGTAAAAATTTTTTACTGTTCACTATTAAAAATTTTTTGAGAACAGTAAAATAAAAATACTGTTCTCATAAGTGGTAGATTACTTAGTAAGTAGTTCATTATCTTTATAAAAATAAAAACTGAAATCGCCTTTTTATGTTAAAGACTTGTTCTGATTTGCTAAAATTTTATTATTAGCACTTTGTGATATGAATCTTTGCCAAAATTACAGCAAGGATTGCTTCAAATAATCGTAGTATTTTATGCACAATCTCAGCAACTAGCTAATCGTATTGAAAACACCTTTAGTCTTTAAACTTAGTGATTGTTTATTGGTTCAATTGATCTAAATATTTAATATAAGCTGTTTACCTCTTATTTAGCTTCTTATCTACATTAGTATGGATAATTATCATCTGCCAAGAACTTTTCTAATTATGCAGATTAGTATGACCAGATCTGCATGGTATGGATCTGACCTGGCTGGGTTATGAGAAACAATTACAGCTGTTTTTATTATTCCTGGGACATCTGATAAAAAATTAGCCAAATGATTTTTCGGCCAATCCAGTGGGTGTGAAATACCTCTATACTTAATATCTATTCCGGGGCTTATACATTATTAGGGTTAGTATTAGAAAATTATAATGGATTGGTATGATATATTTTTAAAGAGGTATTTTACACTCTATACTATAAATATCTAAAAATATTATGAAATTTCTTGTTTGTTTAAATTATAGTATCTCATGTCAATATAGTTATGCTATATTAAGTTGTATACCTGATATTTATTTTATCTAATTTTGTATTGAAGTTGTTTAAAATTATGCTTATATTTATCCGTTTCTGGTTTGGCATAACAATGTTATGCAGTTACTTATTTGATTAATTAGTAATATAAAAGTTATCTATTAATTAATATTTTAAATAGGTATAATTCATTAGTAAGTTTATTAATTAGCATTTCTTAAATAAGCTACTTAAATTAAAGAATATTTACTATATATTAAAGTAGGTTTTTAAATTTACTATTATATAATGTATTTAATACTATAATAAATAATATTTATTTAATTTGTCAGGTAAGTATAATTTAAAAAAAAAAAATTAATTAGTGAGTAACTCAAAAAATTATAGGAATATAAGATTCTTTATATATACTATTAGTTTTTAACTTATTAATAATATAATAAATATAATAAAAATAATATTATTAGATTTTTGGATTAAAATCCCGAACAACAGATTATTGAAATAACATAAATTAGTTAGCATTATAGCTAGTACTGGCTAACTATGTTGGTATTATGTTTTTTCAAAAATCTGTTTTTTGGAAGTTTGACCCAAATTCAATTATTAGCTAGTTTTTTTTTTACTTTTTTAGTAAGCATAAGTGAGAACACCAATAGCAATTTGAGAACACTCATAGCCATTATACTGTTTTCATAAAAACAGTAATTGAGTCTGAAATTTTGAACACTGGTCTGGATCTCTTGATCAGTGTGCAGCAGTTCTTTGGTACTCAGATTCTTTTTGTAATGTATTATTGGTACTCTATTATATCTGCATGATTACCCGACTTCCTTCAGAGAACTGATCCTGACCATGACAATAATTACTGGATAAGATCATTAACCAACACTTCTTTCTTCTTTTAGGTAATAGAAATTCGTCATCGTTACAAGCTATTATATATGCAAATAAAAAAAACTTTTCGTGATGCTCAAAAGCTTATATGTAAATTATTATAAGAAGCATATTGGCCAAGAAATTCTCTCAATTGGCTATTTTCTTTTTGTAGTTTTTTGATTTCTTCATTAGTTTTTTGCTTTCTCAAAGGATCTGCTACCTTTCTTGTTTATTGCACAGCATTTCTTGAAACCCAGATTCTTTTTGTAATATATTATTGGTACTTTATTAAATTGTTATTAGTATAACTCTCTTGTTTTTGTTTTTTTTTTAAATTATATTACTATACCTTGATGCTAATTTTCTTCTTTTCACCTTTTTACAAACATATATATTATTACTAATAAATTACGCGTATAATATTGACAAAACTAACTACCGAGGTGAAGAAATGTGTAAATACAGAAATAGAGGTATATATAGAAAATTCTACATTTATTGGTCAACGTAACGTGATCAAGTTTATCGGTAATGCATTGATTGGCAAAATTACGTACTAAGGTGGTTTTTTTAGCTCTAATTTAGGGATGTGATCCTGCTTGGACTAGTTAGTTCATGATTCAAACCTGTTCTGAAGCATCTATCGATATAAATACTATATAATTATTTTTACACTTTTATTAAAATATATAAATAAATTCAATTTTACAATATATATTTATGTTATTACATATCGATATATTAATATTCATATACAGTAATTGTATTGTATTTATAATTCATTTACTTATGACCCTTTATACAATTAATAATACCCAAACCAAGCCACATATTTAATTTCCCATCAGTTGTGATTAGATGTATGATATTGGGTAAACTAGATTATGCCACTTTAAGCATAGCCGCAAAATCAAAAACATTTTAGTTTTTCTTCAAAAAATAAAAAAAAATATCAAAATAATTATTAAGTGAAAGTATTTATTTATGCACTTTCAAAATTCTTTCTACTACTATAGATAAAAAAAATCAAAATAATCTAAACATTAACGCTTCAAACACAACCAAGAAAATTTTATAAAGTCTTTTGTTCGATACTTTATTCTCAAAAGAATAAAATTTTGCTAAGACTACGTTTACAAGCTTATAATTTTAAAAAATACTCAACTCTGTTTCAAAATTTCTTAATTAAATTCTGGTCATAATTTTACTTTTGCTTAAAAAATAATTGACATGATCAGTTGAAATATTTTAATACTAATATAATAATATACTCAAGTTTCAAAAACTATTTTCCCGAAAGAAAAAATAATTAGTCGATATTAAGTTTTTTCGGGAAAATAGCTTTCAGAAATCATACAGTAACCCTGATACAATATTTCAATAGAAGTTAGTTTGCTAATTAGGAAATATGAAAATGATGATGGTATTTTCCAAAATGAAGAAGCAACAAAGAAACTTTCTACCAACTGTCAAAAAACTCAACAGAATACTATGTAGTACTCCGCAAAATCAAATTAAATTTTGAATTTGACTCAAATATTTGAAAATATTTGATCAAATTTTTAATCATCAAATTTTTTAATTTTTTTAAAAAAATTTAAACATATCATAGTTAAATTCAAATTAAACTTAGTGAATATTACAGTATTAACCTGTATATTATCTAGCTTAATCTGAATTTTAAGAATTAATAGTTTTAAAAATTTACTAGAAATAAAATAGTGGTTTAAAGTTAACTCAATAGTATAATAAATAGTATAATTAATTGGCAGATCGATATTATAATTAACAGTTATTTAAATAAATCAACTAATGATTTTATATTTACTAACATAAATAAAAATGAACGAATGAGATATATATATAGTACATGTTAATACTCGATTGATAAATCTCACTATAATAAATAAATAGTTCATATATATAATACATCTATCTGTTACTTATTAACTTATGCATATCTAGTAAATTATTCTATAATATTAGGGGTTTTGAATTTAACTTTTTCAAAAATATGTAGGAGTTTAGAAAAACTTGTCATTTTTTTTAAAATTCCAGATTAGAAAATTAAATAGGCATAGCCAGTAATAAAATTGGCATTTTTTTGATAAACATTCACCGGTAAGCGATTATGTAAATAAGTACATACTTAAAAAAATAGAATTTGTACATTGCTTCTTTTAAAATAAATACGTTCCATATTTTATCTGAAATCAGACATCAAATTATTAATTATGAGACCCACCATTAAGTTTCTAAAGCGTGCCCTGACTTTAATTTATTTATTATTAGTCTAGCTTATCTATATTGCATTAGCTCGAATTCACGGATAATATAACAAATATTTGGCTCATAGTAATACATGTTCTCTTGGTTCGATGTCACATAAATTGATTAATTAATAAATTGCAAATATTTATATACAATCAAATCTAATCAATGATGATAAATCAATATTAATATATCGAAGTATATATTATAATTGACCGCAACATATATTATAGTGATAAATAAAACTGTAAGCAAAAATTAGATTAATAAATAATTTAATATAATAATTTAAACATGAAATAAGATAAGTACATACTTCATAAAGAATTAAATAGTTGCTTACTTTGAATTATTATATAGTTACTTACTGTATATCTAAGAAATTAAATAATTTCTAATTTAAATATAAAATTCTATCATACGTGTTATCAAAAAATTACTTTCCAATTCAATAATTTAATTTTTTCTTCCAACATAATAACAAGTGGCGGTTTCAAAAATTTTCATCTTAGCTAAATATCTATTGTCTAGGATAAAGATATGATTTGGATATCCATTAGCTTAATTTACTTTATAACAAATTATTATGATTTTATGGATAACTGATTACAGGCTTGGACAATTGATCCAGCCAATAAAACTATCACTATAGTTATTGGTGCTTAACAAGTAATTAAACTTTAATTGGCTGGTCTGGGCTTTAAAAAAACTTGACCGTGGCCCAGTTCAATCTGACCCACTTAATAATAGGCTTAATGTTAAAATTTGAGCCCAAGCCTGGCCCGACATACAAACCCACAGGTTTAGTCCAGTGTTTAAACCAATTTAACTTTGATCATAAATAACAATAAATAGTAATTAAGATAAAATGATTTAATCGATAAACTAATGCATATAATTACAGATTATAAGGTTTCTCTTTATTAACATAAATCAATACAGTCAGACCCCCCTAAGTGCACATTCCCTAAATGCACGGTATATGAAAAACCCCTCTAATATGCACACCTCTGC